ATAGATTACAATATTGTGTTATAAAGAAGTTTAGAGATATTACTTAAAACAACTTAACTTCAGCTTTCAGTACAAAGTTCGATTAGTATATCACAGAAACGTAATATATATGCTACGAAATGTTTAGCGATAGTAATAACAACTGGATGTGTCAGTTAGGTTCTAAGTTGTGTTATTACCCCGCCTTTATACTCTATTACCGATGCTATGAGTGTGGTGATTAACAATTATTCTGTAATTTTAACGCAATTTTACTGTAGCTAGGTGTGTCTAGACAAAGTGTAATGAACCAAGAAGCAATTACGCTTGGTACGATTTCCTGTTTCTGTTTTCTTTTTTTATGTGGAATTGTATGATTGCTACAACCTGTTCATCATTCTTGAAGTTCATATCCATAGGTTAAAATTCCTCTGAATTCTATGGTAAATTCCCAAGTTGACAAATTAAAACTAAAAAAAAATTGCATATGTAAAATACAATTTTCTCCAATTTTTAAATTATTTTCAATTTCAAAATAGCCTACATATACATACATATATTTATTTCAACTTTCTTTCAGCTTCCTTTTCATGTAAACGAATTTTGCAACCTTTTCCTAAATGAATGACAAAAATATTGGCGCTTTAATAGTGAAATATGTTATTCGCCATAGAATTATAAAATTTCCTATTTTTTGTAATAGAATATGTGAGACACGCATATTTCAAGTCGTACACGAATGAGAAATGTGTTCAAGGACAGTACGCGGTGAAGAAAAAATTGTACTGCTCAGTGAACTTCAAATAATCGAGATTGCAATCTTAAAAGGAAGAGAATAAGCGGTGAATTCCATGAAAGATATACATACGTTACTTATCATATATACAAATACTCGAAACGGAAGAAACATCTCGAAATAAGTTCCGCAAAATAATTTCGTCCCCTCGCTTAATTTACAGTCACGAAATGACAGTCAGAATTTACGTCAGAAGCATTGTGTTGAATTTTAACGAGTACAAGTTTGTGTACTTCGAGAATGGAAACATCTGATATTTATTTATCAAAATTTTAATTATTTCGTAAAAATTCATTATCTTTGTTACCATGAAAACGAAATTTAGTATTCGTTTATTTTTACGGGAAGAAAATTAAAAATTTTTACCAACGATTTATGGGCGATCGTAACTCCATAAATAGCGACGTAACACTTGTAAACCTTTTGAGAAAATACTGTCTTTAGGTCAACGATCGTGAAACGAAGACAACGACCGTATTCGTCGTAATATACATCGCCAGATCCGTGTACAACATTATGGTTATAATGTAGCTTGCGTTAACAAATTACTTCGACATAAATTTTATGTTCCATAGCCTTCTTAATGTTGGTATAATTACATAGCTTCAAATATGTTTATAATCTTTCATGTACTAGAAAGTAAATGACCTTATTTTATATGGAAAAATATATGTATATATATTTCAAGAAGACGGTACATCTTCCTAATCTATGAACAGATTTTCTTATAAATATAATTCCAATAGAATTCGAATATTTTAAATTCCATCTTTTTCTATTAGAAATTATATTCTAACAATTTCTGGAATGAAGATTTTGTAATTTTTGAAAAATGTAAAATTAATAATTTGCCTGTGTTATAGTCCTAATAATTCTGTCATAGTTTCTGTTTGGATTGGTGTACGTTAAAATGCTTCTAATGTTCCTTTTTCCAATAAATACACGGTTAATCCTTTATCGTAAAGGAGTGAGCCATAAAATTTCAAGCCAAACTAATAAAATTCAGTCATCAAGCAAGTGTAGAAAATATCGAGATTAACGATGGAATAAACTGAAATACCTTCCATTTTCGATACAAAAACGTATCATGGGTAAAACCTGTAACAGAGGGTTATACGGTAGAATAATATCATAAAACTGCATACATTATAAACGTAAAAAGTATGCGGTTTAAAATAAAAGAAAAATAAATTAAATGTTAAGATTAAACAAGAATCAGATAAGAATCTTGATTACCTGTAGATTGTTTTTCCAGATAACAGTTTCAGTGTTAAACGAGATAGCATTATGTGCAAATCTATATTTTACCTTTACATAAAGGTACTTAAAGATACCTTTAAATAAAGGTAAACCCCTTTACATAATTATAAATTTAATAGCCATGGTTAATACAGCATTGTTCTTGTAAATGCTATAACATGAAAAGTGTTATTATAAAATTATGCAAATTATTATATTTTAAAATAATATACTATTACAATTTAATATACTTTAAAATGTTTAATTTTGGAAATTAGTGAAAAATTATAGCAAAATTTCTATTTTTCTCTAAAAGTCTCTATTTTATTTTTTGATATTTATAATAAATGCTTATAAAGTTATATAGTAAAAATAATTACTATATTCATACTATATTCAGATCAGTTATAATTTGTTTGATGAGGTTGTAATATATCAGGCATTCTTTATTCCAACAGGCCCAATTCGATTTTTTTTCTTTTCCATTATCCTACATTCATTAAATACGTTTGAAACGATCATTTCGTTTGACGTTAATAGCTTTCCTCGTGTAAAGAGGCCAATAGTATGGCCGTCTGTTAAGCGAAGTTCAATCTTTATGAGAAGATTCGTTTCGGTGTCTTTCGTTCCCATTACCTACATTTCTTGCTAACGCAGACCCAAAAAGCAGCAGGCGGGCCCACGAAAAAAGAATATCGGTCAATCGAATAACGGAACATCCTGTCCATTTTACGTATGTTTTATGCGCATGCGTGCACGCGCGAAGTTCTAAAAGAAGAGTTCCTACAGTGAAACGGAGGCAGAGAAAGGTGTGGTGTAAAGAAAAATGGCTACAAAGAGGGAGTTAACAAAGAAAAGAGGGGCAAAGTAATAAACAGCCGAGCGAAAAAATAAGACAGAAAAGTAAACCTGCCCGGTCTCGCCCCCTATTCCCTTCTCCCGCCTCTTTCGGTATACGTCAGTTTGTCCATTCACCGTTCTTGGTCGTGGGCCCAATGTCACCGATTATTCGTTTAACGGGATCTATACGTCCACGGTGGTGGTGAACGATGATTTCTCCAGGAGCCAATCGCCAGTTATGGGTTTTGGGCTTCGGTCAGTTGAAGAGAGTACATTGTTACGTACGAGCACTGGTGCTGTCGTTTTTACAAATCAACGCATACTTACAGCGAATATTTTAATCCTCGTGTTTTATCAGAGTGTTTCGATCGAATTCACGAAAAGTTCCAGCCATTTGTTCCATCAGTGTTGATCGATTTAGTATGACGAAATTTTGTTAGGTTAATCGTAAATATCTATCACACACACTTCGCACAACGAATCGATATTTTCTCGTAAACTTCCGAGAATTCAAAAAGCATTTTAAAAATTCAATTTTTTTTATGGTGCAGGCTTTCATCTTGTGGTAAATTTACATGGAATTATGTTATAAGAATTCTATCTCGTCACGACAGCTTTTTGTCGACTCAACTTCGTTAAAACCGTGCAGCACCACGTGGTTCGAGAAGACAGCGCGTAACGTCTGTATACATTGTAAAATTTATCTTCAGGAAACAATACTTTGACCGCTTGTGGATAGTGTGTACTTATTTCTCTATCTCCTGCATATAATGACGAAACGTGTGAATATCACGAGAGTTTGAAGAAAACAAGTAGAAACTGAAACAGTTGCAAACGATTATAACATTCTTCGATTGGTATATCGAATTATTGAATATCATTAATCTTAATCATTAACAAGCACTGTTACGTATTTACAACGTTTATTAAGTGAGAAGAGAGTCCAAAATTAGTGATTGTGTTTATAAAGAAAATTTTCCAATCGTTAGGATTACACTCGCTTTGTGTTTATAATTTCCTTGCATACCTGTCACATTCGCGCACGAATATTTAATTCGACTATTGGCAACCTTCAGCTCAGAGGGCGCAGAGGTGCATCAGTTCGTATATCATCGCACGCTACGAATATTCACGAAGTTACACGAGAATTTCGTTACGAATTATTGGCGGCCGTAGTCGTCGAATTATCTAACATTATTAACTTTAACTGTTTGAAGTCTGTATAAAGAAAAAAACTATTTCCGTGGTAAGAAAAGTTAGAGTAGAAGCTGAAAAGTCGGACGTAAAAAAGAAATTGACCTGAATCGACATTCGACGAAAAGCTGGTGCGCGAACGAGTGGACACGAGGAGGGGGCGAGGACAGAATAAGGCGAACAAAAAAGAGAGAAACGTAAGAGAGAACAGTAAAGTTTTGGGAAGAGGCAAGTCCCGACGAGTGCTGTGTGACTACATAAAGAGAGGAGCTGACGCATTTTGCATATTTATTATTCGTCGAAAGAAGGAGAATCTGGTGGCAAGCGTGGTTCGCGGTAATTCGTTAGTTCAACTGTCGACTCAAAATTCACGTTTAGTTAGATTATTGAGTGGCGCAAGTGTCGTTGGCGGTTCTTCCAAAAAGCGTAGGTGCATTCGTTCTTGAGACGAACTTTATTTTAAACGGTTCAACACGGGGTCCATAATATCAAACGTAAGTTAATTTGTGAAAATTTGAAATATATATTTCCAAAATTGTATTTCATGGTAAACTAGAATAACTGATGTTTATTAATATTGTACTGTGTTATAACCTAACAGTAATACTTTTGGTCGTTAAACATTTATGATATTTTTATAGGATGATATATTATCTCTATATAAATATCTATTATAAGGATGGTCTGATAAGACGATAATTAATCTTTTTTAAAGAAATTACTTGAAAGATTTAAAAATACTAAGTTCATCAGAAATTGCATGTTGTTCTTAAATTATTATTTGAATAATTGAAAAATATAAATATATTTAATTTTTCATTTTTATTATATCAGAACTGTTTATTTTTCAAACAACAGGAACGAAATAAAACAATTCCAGTAATTTGACGATTCTTTAGGTAAAATACTTGTTTTTGTAAAGATAATTAATATATTTATATATTTGTTGCAGGAGTTACTGGAACATGTCAAGAAAGATGATGTAGTAAAATTGGTCAGCACAACAAGCCATGACACGACACCGTTAGTTATAGCCTGTCGAAATGGACATTACGACGTAGCTGAATATCTCATTGAAAAATGTGGAGCAAATGTCAATCAACCTGCCTCTGGTAAATTTATTTATTTTGGAAAATTCTTTGTTAAATTTTTTACATGCATCAGCATCTTTCAAGTTGTAATCACTAAACACAAGCGAATATGTGAAAATCAAGGGTAAATGTATTTCTGAAAGGTCGTAAATTTTAAACATTTTAGCTTAATCCGACATAATAAAATGAATATGAAAGAAACTTTAAATCATATGAAATAGTTTTTATAGAGAATTCTATTTTATAGAGAAAAAGGCAACTCGTTAAAATTATTTTTTTTTATTTTTCCTTTGTTTTGAGTTTCTTCATTAATTAAAATTTCTAATTTAGTGTATCCTAGTATCTTTAAAATTATATAAATTATATTTGACACTGCATAATTGAAATTTATTATACTAAAAAAAAAAAAAAA